CGCCCCTGCACGTAAATAAAAGATTCCCATCGATAATACTTACGTGTTGATGAATGTTCTTAGTATCTACATTGGCATATGGGGTACCCCCACACGTGAACACAACGTACATCAGAACACCGAATGCCCAAATATCAGACTCTCGTGAGAACAAAGGTTCATCTTCAAGACATTCTGGAGCAGAAAACCTTATCGACGGGTCTTCCAAATCCAACTTYTCTCCATGGATGCCCCTTTCCATTTCATTCTYAGAAAGAATCTTAGCTTGGCAGAAACCCGTGATTCTGACATTAAAGTTGTCGTCAAGTAAAACATGCTCTGGTCGCAGCTGATTGTGAATGACTTGCTTCTTGTGTATGAAGTTCATACAGTTAGCTATCCCAAGACATACATTAAGTAGCTGACGATAAGTAGGGATTTCTAGCTCCTCTTTACAAACTCTCAAAAAGTGAAGTAAGTCTTCTTTTGGCATGTAGTCACAAATCATATGTAATGGCCGTGTTTTGGTGTCAGCGGTATGGACCATCAGAACATGCTTGTTCGGGGTTTGATTGAGATGTTGAAGAACCTTAAGTTTCATTTTGCAGATGTTTTTCTGATGGTGACAGATCTTGATCCTGATCTGCATACAGATTCTTTATAGGATTTATGATAGCCACAGTGATAGCTACAGGTTGGTAGTCATATAACCCACGTACTATTACACGATTTTCATCCTCATMAATGATTTCTATGCATTCCAAACCTTTGGATTCGTGGATTTTACAGATCTGCTTAATCATCACGTCTCGTTCTAACGGAATGTGGTCTAGTACCTCAGGTTTGAGTCTTCTTTCAATGACGATCTTTCTGGATTTGAAGTCTCTAGCAAATGAAGTCTTAATGCAATGGTTTTCTATTATGTTGCGAATGACTTCCGACTTTCCGCAAACTTTGGCCTCCATCAAACAAGCAAGACAGCGAGCAGCTTTGATTCTAGTAGCTATAGGTTACACAAAATAAACGAATATTTCAGGACATGAAATTGATAAGATTCCTTTTTAAGTGGTAAGTCGTGTAACTTTTAACAATATTTGTACGATTTAATTCAAAATTATTGGATACCTTTAGAAAGCTTGGTACTGTTAATGGTRTGAAGCAGTGTCTGGCAAGCGAGCAATGAAAATTTCCAGTCTTCATTTCTGTGTGGCCATTTCTTACTGAACACATCGTGATTCTTGATGATGATCTCAATAATTTGATAAGCATCGGCATTACTGGTACACAACTAGAAAAGGAAAACAGCAAATAATTATCAATTTTTCATTAAATCTTCGTCTTTCCAAAAAGATCAATAAGGTAGGTAAGAAGTAATACTCTTAGGGTTAGCATACACTTAACATACACTTAGCATATAGGAATAATCTTGTTTACGATACAAAAATCATAGAGTCAATTGATTKGTTTATTGCGTCTCGTGTTTTCCGCGTGAAGATCGATTTGCTTTTGTCCCGTGTGATGATAATGATGGGTCGATGCTCTTACTCAGTTTGTAAAAGTCTGTACAGATTAGTAATAACAAGCAGTTTAGGACTTTTGGCTTAGCAATACGTCTTTTTTGGCTTACCAATACATCGTGAGTACAGTATTTACCTTGCCATGGAGCATTTTCAGGATGACAAAATAATCCACTGAACTACTTTCTGCACATTGCAGCTTCTTCAGGAAAGCTTCCAGCGTGATATCTTTACACAAATCCAACAGCTTGGTCATGYGACTCAATTTATTGTAGTCAAACAAACGCTCGATCAAGTTTAAAACTGTTTCCATTGAGAAGCGCCAGCGATCTTTTTTGGGACGCGGATTTCTTTGGAGAGTTTTCTGGATGTTTTTCGTTACAGTCTGTTTTATTTCTTCTTTCTCTGTCTTGTTAATGTATGGAGGTTTCAGGTGACCCTTAGCAAGGTACAGCAGTATTAAAGCTAGAATACTGTTATACACTTCAAGACGGCWTCTTTGAATATGCTGAAGGTTTTCTGCAAAGCTGCCGTCGACCAAGGACCGACGCAGTATCCTTTCGACCTCTATAATATGAGCGTTTGCCGACTCACAGCTGCCAAACTCTAGATCAAGCAACCGCTTCATTATCCTTAGGGAATGAATGGTAAGTCTTGGACTTTTCAGCTCTGGAGAACAGAACCTAGCAAGCAGCTCTAGAGCATCGTTGCAACTGCTTGCGGCCTTGATAGCATGGTTCTCGATTTCTGGTAGAAGATGTTGCAAAATATTCTTCTCGATTTTATCCTTCTCGGTGCCYCGACATTTAGCCACTGCCTCGAGAAGTGTGGTGGGGTTTTTCAATATTTYTACAACTACGTAAAAGAAAGAAATAAGAGTTWCTGCGGTCRAGATCAATGATCAGTTTTTATACATAATTGTTTTCTATTGTATTGTTTCTGTGTGATGTATTTTATATCTAATATGCGTCTTAGTAATCTAGGCAACCTTAGTAATCTATGATACTATTATAGGATAGTGTAGCGATCTAGAGCCGAGCATAACCGAACGGACCGACTCTAATGATAGCATGAAAGAGTCTTGAAGTAGTGTTCAAAGTTTGTATGGTTACTTTGCATTATGTCAATTAGTACCACTATTATTACTAACCATCAAAAGAATTCTGAGTTACACCAGCTGATTCTGCTGTTGTTGATACGTTAGCATCACTCCCAACTGCCACAAAATTGCCTTTACCACCGACATTGACTACATTCTTTATTTGCTCCTCTTTCGTCTTGGTGCAACCTATCATGAGCCAAAAATAGAACGCATGAAACACGAAAACACCCCAAAACCATTTTTCCCCAATAATTAGAGAGTTACTATTTATTACTATTATTATTACTATTATTATTACTATTATGACTATTATTATTATCATTATTATTATTATTATTATTATTATTATCATTATCATTTTTATTATTATCATTATTAGGCTTTTGAGAGAAGACAGGTTTTATTCCATCAAATCGTAAATGAAGCAAAATGACAAAAGTCACAAGCTTCATGACCTACTACCAACACGCAATGAATCGACCTACCACACGCGCTGCCAAAGATATTATAAATTACCAGTCTGTAAGACTAGGTTGAAGAATACTTTTATAAGAAACATAGTCTTAATCAGCAGTAGGTTTTAGATTCCACTTTTTAGCTTTAGTATCTAGCTTTAGCTATCTATCTATCTATCATACTACATTTATTTCTGGAGCTACGCGTACTTATTTTGGTTTCAACATTTTTTTCTTTTCTATGCCACATTTTGCTCAGTTTTTACAATGAACGTTCAGCGGGTTTTCGCAAAAACCGGGTCAAAATGCATGGTTATAGCTGAATATAAATGTTCCTAGGGATTGTAAAGTTGTGTTTGTTTTGCATTGGAAAATCATTCTTCCAGCTGATCTGAAATAGTCACGTAGAAATGACATCACTCCAAGACTGTCATGGCTCGTTCGTGTTTTCAGAAGGGTAAATTTCATATTTGATTTCATGCATGATATCTTTTCTGGATTTATATGGGATCTTTTGAAGGTGGTTACATGTGTCAATCGTGTATTATTCTTGTTTTAGTATAAATACACAGGTGATTATTGAAAATCTCGCGCTCTCGAAACTCACGCTATCACACGATAATCACCTCCAGCGATAATCCAAAATGGCGGCCAGCCACTTTGTTGCTGTTACCGGAGAGGAATTAGAAATAATGAAAGAAAATGCTGTCCCCAAAAGGACTAAAGAGGCTAAC